AGATGTGATGAAATATGGAAATGAAGAAAAAAAAAACGAATTATAAAGGCTAATCTCGTTATATGTGTAAAGAAATGTAGCAGTGAGCGAGTCAAATACTCGAGAATAGAATATATGGACTGATATATTGATTCTCTCGTACATAGGATCAAGTCACTTCCAAAATTTCCAATATTTTTTTCAGAGGATTTGTAATTTTCTTCTATACCAGTCACTGTTCGACAGTTCAAAGTTACAATACATTCGCAAAATTGATAAATGCAAACCACGACTCACGCACATTATCCTTACAATGAGATAATTGCTTGATGATCAATTGGTGCCGTTGAGCACATAGATAGATTGCGCTTTGATGAAATCATGTGTGACTTTACTCCAAATATGAAATGGTGGCACAACAATTGCTCTGATATTCAGCTTTGAAAAAAATGATTTTGTTTAGTTTGCAACGGATAAAAAATGATTATTTACTACATTCAAGCAACAAGGATAGATGGATAAATCAACATAATTTGTTTGAGCTTGAGTGAATAACAACATACAAAAAAGTGACTGTGACACAACACCATCGGTGGCAGATTGATCAACTGTGATAGAACTGGGCGGTGCGATGTACCGAAATTCAATCGAATCGGTGCATTTGCTGGAAATAAACATAGTAAAATTTGTCTTTTTTTGCATGAAATGAAACAAATTCAAAAACAACGAACGAAACGGAACGGTCGTTTAAATAAGCTCGTTCCTGCAAATTGTTAGATCAATTGTTCGAATTATTCACATCGTTTGGTCAATGTTCAGTCAATTCGATTTTTGTACCGATGGATTATTCGTTTTCGGTATTGACAAACTAAGCGAATTTGATTTCAAAGCGATTCGGGATGACATTCCCAGTGCGATATTGATATTTTAGCAAATTAACGAAGAAAATACGTAATAAAATAGGTGCCAAAAATGAAAGAAGAAATGATAAAGAAAAATTGAAGAAAATGCAATTTGCAAATGCTATTTTGTGTCAGCGTGAAAGTGTCAACGTTATAATGTTTTACTTCCATTTGCATTACAAATTTTTGGGGTGTAGTTGTGTGACTTTTTATGTTCAAAATAAAAATTGTAAAGGGATTTGTAGTTATATCTATGATTCTGAAAGCTTTTTTCTCGCTAACATAAACTCTACCGTAATTCCATCCATCATACATCGCGTTTAGCACAAGTAACCAGACTTGCTAAAGTCTAATTTCCATAGCAAGGTTATGATCTAAATTCACCATTATTGGTTCATTTCTGTTCTGGTCGATCATACTTCGAAAAAATATTGCCCAAAGCAATTTGCAAAAAAAGTCATCATACGTTCATTCGGTTGAAGGAAAAAAAAATTCTACTGAAGCTAAATTCAGGTCTTCATCCATTCAGAACACGAAAGTCAATTGATCAATTTGGTCAATGGCGAAAGGAAAAACTTCGAACAAAAACATAAAGTCCAATGATCATCGATAATATTTCAATTCAATGATGTTAATTGAGTCAAACGAGATTTCGCGGAAAGTACACACAAACTCTTGTGTTTGGGCTTAATTACACACCGTCGATTTGAAACATTCTTCGACGTATCAATTTGAACTTTGTTTTTTTAAAAGTAATTTTGGATTTGGGTGGCAGTCGATCGCTGTTATACTCACGGGATAATTCAATTTCCATATTAACTCTTGTGTTTGATCGTCTGCTAAACACATTTCGAACATTCCGTAAAAGCCGGGCGGTTTCGGTTAGTCTGGAAGAAGGGTTTGGGGTTTTCGGTTTGTTCGGTTTATTTTATTCATTCAATTTGTCGAATAGTTTTTTAGTAAATGAATTTTTCATAAAATTCTACCAATTCTACCCAAAAATAAAAATAAGTCACAACTTCGGGAGCACATTTTGTCACCATTTTAGAGAATGGAAAACACAAAATCTGTCTAACACTCGCCCAACTAATATAATTAAAGGATGAAGACACAACTAGAGGATATATCCAATATATCAAGGAAAATTCACCCAGATTCCTATCAAAATTGTGCATTTCGCTAACACTACTAGGCTTCCAAAACCTTTGTCTATTTTTTGGTGCATTGAATCTATCTTTTTTTGCCACCTTCTACAGTAGCTCAACTGAGGTCTGACAAGTATTATTGCAAATGAATATTCTCAAGCCAAAGCAAAAACCAACTCTTTTTTCCGAAATATTCAAGCCGCGAGCCAAACCGAAAAGCGCAAAAATAAAGTAAAGTAAATCAAAACACTATACAATTAGAATGCACACAACAAATGACAAGTCAACGACTAAATTCGCCATTTTTATACATCAATCAACAAACACAAAAATAAAATATATACACAACAGCTTGAAATTTTAGATAGAGACAAAATCAAAATGTTCACTTTAAAAAAAATTGCATATTATTTTGGTGCATCAAGAATATTGTGCTAAAAGTGCTTTTTCATTCAACATTTGGTATAACATCATGTGAGCAAGATGCAGTTTGTCAAAATTTAACAATATTGATCCAAGACCAGATGGAATGAAGAAAAAAACCGTCACAACACTTCAAAATGTATGGATATGTACATGAATTCGAACTTGCATGCATAAATGTGCGAGCAAGTGAATATAAATACAAGAGTGAGATAGAGAAAGAGGTTCACCTCCATGATTGTGATTCAATTTAAATGTAACTAGTTGATTGCATTGTGTTTTGGGACAGATGAATAGTGCGGTTATTTAGTTTGGGAAATCGGCATATAAAAACGATGCACACGGAGCAGAAGGTCCAGGGTAAACATTGTTCACAAAATATACATATAAATTGTATTCGGTTTTATGTGTAATTTTCAAATATAATTGATCGGATTCGGATTAGTTATTCGATTTTCTGGTATTTTCCATATAAAAGTCCCAAAACTGGATTAAAACCAAATCCACAATTATTCAAGTGATTTAACAATAGAATTTTCATGCAAAACGATGGATACACGATAAAATTCGTAATAAATTTGGTTCCAAGTGAAGAAAAAATCAAACGAACTGATGGATCAAACGGGTTGCTGCCAACTGTTGTTTCAAATTCAAATTTTGGAATGAAGCAATTCTAATCGTTTTCAGGAAAAAATATTCGGAAGGTCCAAAAATTGTCAGTACGGCAAACACACGTCAAATTCAATGGAATAGTTTAGAGGATCACCAAAACTGATATGAATAGGGCAAAGGGATATTGCAACTTTTTTGACCAGAAAAAACGCCATCTTACGTCGTGCCCATAAATTATTTTACTGTACATTTAGATGGTAGAGCTTGAACAAAAGTTCGAAACTATGCATAAACTTGGAAAGAGCTTGATAAACTTGATGAAGTACATATATTTTATGGTCGTTGCAATACCCCTATGGAATAAGGAAAATCGCGTTCTATTCGCGATCCGTTTTGCATAAGCCTTAGAAATATCGTGGTCCCAAAATCACTAATAATTATACGTGGTGTAATTTTCACCAATTTGGGATCCTTCAATTGGGTAATATACCAAAAAATTATTATCTAATCCTAAGAAATGAAATCAAGTTTTATCGCCTCGGTACCAAGCGAATATGTTTACTTGTATTCTCGATTTGATTCATTTCGGATTCATTGAATTACAATGTCAATAATGGTAAAATCAAATCTATATTCTCAGTCAACAAATGAAAAATGTTCATTTGGTATTTGGCACCGATCGATACACATATTATGATCATGTTCCAAAATCGCGTTGCTTCTTTCTCAATTTAACATTTAGAAATTAAAACACATTTACTTACACCTGACTAAACTTCCCAGTGCATGCATTGTTTTCCTATATAAGTACAAATAATTTATAGACGAAAGAAATAAACCTTAAAAAAATCGCAATATTGTACGTCTTAGGCGCAGTGACCGTGCAAATGACAACAACAACGACAATCGCAAACATATTTTGCGAAGCCATCGTTTTCGCAATCACTGCGTGGTAAAATGGCTACTGGCTATAAGACTGGTTAATATCAAGATGAAAGAAAATTGTATGAAAGAATAACATAAAGAAAGGACTATACATAATAGAATACCGTGTATATGGCTATTAAGATGGATAGATCGAAAAATTGGTATACTTTGTTCAACGTAGATTTTAAATTAATCAAAAACGTTCTCAGTTTATATTAAATCAAATGGAATTTTTGTAACGGTTTCCAGCTCAAACAACAATTTCAATTCTACATGCAGAAAATTTCATAATCCATAATGAGAAATTTTTTTTTAGACAACACAGAGCATTGAATCTGCTGGCTATGTAGTGCTGCTTTTGAACAGCGGCTGTTGGTTTTGTTCTTGTGCATTTCTCTAACAGGCATGAACATGCACGAACGTGGTACATACTGTTCTACACACATAGCTCCGTACGCGGCACTTACAGTGTGACGCATGCACAAGTACGTAACCAACAGCCGCTGTTGACAGCAGCTGTTCAAAAGCAGCGCTACATAGCCAGCAGATTCAATGCTCTGAAACAACATGTGAATCTGATTCAACTCAAGGATTTTTTTTTCAAAATTACTAAACAATTACTGCAATCATATGCGTTCACATTCAACGAAGGTAAGTCCGATGAATAAATTTGATCTATTAAATTTTATAATAAAATCACTTGAGTCAGACAGAGCGAATACATGTCACACGGCACCGTTTATCTGCATCGAAATTCACTTGATCGTTTGGGAATTTGAATTACGACTCACAACAAATCGCATCTTACAGGGTTAATTAGAGTTGAATTTATGCAAGTACAATTTTTGATGTGTTAAATCATGCAAAATGTTGATACGAATCTTCACTTATATTGACTTATTACAGGCAAATGAAACCGAATTCAAAGCAAAACCGTAATTTTTATTGGATTTGTTTTTTTTATTTCAATTATTTTTATTTGCAGAATTGGTCCAAATAAGAGGATGGTTAGTTTTGTGTTTTGAATCATTTATTTCCATTTTTTCCATGCATTTAATTAACAATTTTGGTTTCAAACTACTCGTGTCAACAATATAATAATTCTTTGATGAAAAACAAAACACAAACTTAAAGCGTAATATTCACACACTTAGCAAATTATTAGTTTTAATTGATTCAAATAGTTTTAATTCACTCCAAAAAAAAACAGACGAAAAATGCTCGCGTTGCACGGTCCTTATTGACTTATATCAATTCAAAATTGAATTTCTTTTGGAAATCCATCAATTAATTCAATCGGTAAATACTAATAACTACTACAAAAAAACAAAACATAAAGAAAGGTTAGTAATCAAATTACAGAAATTAAATCATAATAGTAAAAATTATATAAAATACCTAATAATTTGTTAACGATTTTTTAATGAATCGATTGTGTTTGCCGTTCGATAAGATTTATTCGAAAAATTGAATAAATTGCATTGACTGCAAACAAATGAAAAATAAAATATTCAACGTGGACTAAAAATTAGATAAATATTTGGAATGTATAAATTTTGTTTGTAAATTGTCCGTTTTATGACTGTCTGCAACGTTAGGCGTTTTGAAATCCGGTCCGAAATACTTATTTTTTCCACAATAAAGTGTTTTCGAAGACTTTTACAAATGAGTTTAGCAATCTTCATGGTGGTATTGTTATACTTGCGCTCATTGAAACCTAATAATAATCGTAAGGCTCATTACGGATCCTCCTTTAAAATTTACAAATCGCCAATAAAAATGACAAAACGGCAATAAAATTGACAAAAAAAAATTCAACAAAATTGACAACAATTCGAAATAAATGTAACAAAACAAACAGTAAAACTAACATTACGTTCAATGAAATTGCCAGATTGAGAAAATAATTTTGACAATATAGGCAATAGAATTGTCAAATTAGAAAATAAATCTGACAAAATGGTTATAAAATTGACATTTTTTGCAATAAATTTGACGTAAATTTATCTATTTGGTGCTTGCTATTGTCAAATTTACCCATTTTGTCAGATTTATTTTCTAATTTGGCAATTCTATTGCCTATATTGTCATTGACAATTTGTCAAAGTTATTTTCTCAACCTGGCAATTTCATTGAACGTAATATTAATTTTATTGATTGTTTTGTATTTAATCTAATCGTAATGTCGGTTTAGTTAGGCTTTGAAAAAAATGAATCTAAATTGAATTTGTTTTTTATTTCTCTAGCCATTTAATACATTCAAGTCAGCACGTTCCAATTAAATTCACCCACACGGTTATTGATATCATTTCAATGAAACGCATTTGTTCGTGCAATTTAGTATTTGTGACTAGATTAAAATATATTCCAAAATCCCGTGAAATCTAAACCCGATTTTAAATCACCAATGTGTGAGTATTTTTCAATGCCACCAACAGAAAATTGTCTTCAAGAACAGATAATAATTTTGAGCCTAAATGTAATGATCCCAGACGTCATCTTTTTTTTTAGAAGTGTCATATTTTTTTGGAAGAAATTTAACCAAAAGTCATATTTGTTTTTAATTGAATGAAAAAATGTTTAGAATTTTTTGGAAAAAATAGCTTATTTGGCGTTTAAGTAAGTATTTTTGTACGGTTTACATGAAGTGTAAAATCCAATTAGTACACTATGAAGTTACTTTTTTAATTGTATTTACTTGAGTCGATCGATTATGTCAATACAACATTTATGAATCGGCAGGTCTGAGGTAAGATCGCTTTGTTCTTATATAAATACATGGGACAGATTTGATGTGAGACGCCAAGACACCCTCTTGACTCGGTACAACTTGAACACGGCGATGAATCTACAACAACAATAACACGTATTTCCAATGTAAACATAAGAAGAGCTCTACTGAGACGACGCTTGTGGTGATAGTTGAAAATTTCAATCACATAAGCGTATGCATGGCCAATAATCAAGAATCCATTCGCGCAAACCGTATAAGTCCTATGCTAGCGTGTCTGTATTGTTTGAATATTTTGACCGCTCAACGTGTATTGTGAGTATGACCACTAGAGGCAGGAAAATCGAATGTTGTCGTCAGTATGGATTTCATAGCCGCAAATTTGAAGCTGTCATCAACATATCGAAAGTGAACATATTTGTTTACGCACACAGTGTCACATACATAGATTCGAAGCTGTACTATGTCCATTTTAACCTAAGCACGTGTAGAGGGTCAATTTCGTTTTAAACTCACCAATAACGCGAACTTTTCTGTGGCAAATTTGTTCAGTTCAAAATCACAAATGCTATTTCAGACATTTACATTGGTAAAGGCTATGTCTCAATACAGATTTTGCTTGCAAAATAATGCACTTGCATGATAATTACTACCTCCATTCTAAAACCGAGGAAAATAACTGTTTCCAAAGAAACAAAAATGGACAAGATGAAAATCATCTTTTTTGACAGATTTGACCTGGGACCATTACCAAAATGCCTTATCAAATCTAATCGAATCGAAATATTCAAAAATATGTCTTGTGCGACTACGACTAAATTCTACAAGCAATTCAAATATCGCTATTACTTCTTGAATATCTCGTTTGATTTTCTTTATTCTAAATTTCGATTCTAATGTTTTACGTTTGAAAAACATATTTTTGAAATTGTGTGCGAAATTTTTATAATGAAATATTTCAAAGTAAAAATAAATGGCTTCATATTTACGTAAGGCAGTTATGAATTTTTTAATATGTCTTGGAACTGAATTTTACTTGCAAATACAATAAATTCTTGAGCGTTTTTTCTCGAGATTCGAACAGAAACTCGAGATTTAAATAAAATGGAAGAAATGTACGTAATAAGAAGATTTTTTGTTTTTTTTTCGCAAATTAAATCAATTTTTTGCAGCAATTATTTGCCATTTACCTTTGCATTGAAACAAATTTAATTGGAAGTTATGATATTTTGTGCGTTTATCTACGGCGAAATATTGTATTATTTACAATCAATAATGCTAAATTGTTTTCAACTCTTGACTACTTTCAACAGATGGAATTCACGTAAAAAGGTTAGAAAGTGTTTGATAATAGAAAACAAACGGACATTATGCAAAAGATTATTCTTGTACCATTTGCAGGACGGTGCGGTTTGTTTTCGATTACAACGACATACTAAGAATGGTGAACATATACGAATAATACGGAAAAAAGAATATTAGAAAATAATGTATAGATTTTTGATTGATTTTTTCAACGAGAAGAATCGCTTTGATCCCATTCCAATACTAAATTATTGAATGATTAAATTCCGACATGTTAAAATTACATTAGTCATATTTAAGCTATTGAGTTCTTAGTGTGCATCTGGATACTAGATAGTAAATGCACTTGTCTGTTGTCTGTTGGTTTTGTTTTTCTTTAATTTTCGGTTATAAAATTTAACTGCGATTGTTCATGATATGTTTTGGCTCAGGTCCGATCACTTTCCTAAATGTCCGTTATCACGTTTGTTCTGTTCGTTTCTGTTCATAAGTGATTGTGTATATCGTTACTGTTACTAAGATTGTTATTGTGCGTATTATTCCATGCATCAACAATATTTGGTAGTGGAGCTATGGTATTTAGTCGTCGCCAAGATAGCGCTACAGGCTGTCCTCTATACATTACATGGATTAATTTGTTTTTTTTTTTTGACAAATGATACAAAATGGCGCACAATTTTTAAAAAAGAAAAAAAGAAGAAGACAAACAAATATTGAACAAAATATATATATAGAGAGAGAGAAAAATGATTTTCAACTTCAATTAGTTCGAAAATGACAACTGATTTTGAATGAAACAATACGTTATACTTGATGTGAGAGCGATTGGTTGTGATTACGAGCCGGAACTACATTATTCATGTCGTAATGTAAAAGATACTATCAAACCGTTTTGATTTGATGATCTGCGCTTTTTTTCTCACATTATTTTCATGAATAATTTAGCTTAAGCAGCCTTGATGGTCTAAACTGTATGATCAATAATTGATGCTGATTTTATGATTATATAAAATTAATGAACGAATTCCGATGGTTGCATGCTTTTTTTTCGTGGAAACTGTCACTCATTTTATTGCTCACATTTTCAACGTATTTTTTTCGTCACATTGAATTGCGGAATTAAAGATTTCATCTCTGACCTCATTTCTGATTTTTTTGATTTTTTTGTTTTTTTCTCTACAATTACGGTTTAATACATAAAAAATAATCAACGTTCAAGAAGAAAAAAAATCTTTGTTAGAATTCAAAATCCCGTATACGGATCTATTATAATAGACATATATTGATTCAAATAAATAATAAAATAATAGCTTTAGCTACACTTAAGAATAGAATGAGTCCGACGATAGTTTCAACAATGAAATAAATGAGCTTAATAATAAAGAAAGGGTTTTCTTCTTGCAAAGTAATAATTGGAAAGAAATCGAAAGTAACGAATCAAATAATGTTATAATACTTACGATGATCTAGATTCTTTGAGGACAAAACTTGGATCGTGCTTAAGGATTTCCGATTCCCGCACCGCCTCAGTCAATGTTTTGAAGACCGAATTTTGAAGACTGAAAAAAAAAAATGAATTTCAAAATACGAGCAGAGCAAATGCTAATGATTTTTCATTTATCAGCACACACAACACAGTTCTCAAAAATACGTACGAAATACACACACATACACACAGTGCCAAACGTCAAACGACAAACGAAGGACAAAGACAAAAGTCGTAAAAATGAATTAACGGTAAACATTTTTCCAAGAAATAGACACAAGCAGCGTAGCGCATCGACAAGCTCAAAGCGAAATGCGATGCGCACCAAACTACCAGTGTATAGTTAATCAAATAAAAAAACTTCTCTCAAAGTAATTCCTCGTGACGAAAGCGAACACGAAACAGTTGATATCAATTTTAAAAAATCATTACGGTGCGATTCTGAAATTAGTTGGAAGAATGCAAAAAAAGCAAATCCAAATCGCTCCGAAATGATTTTTTAAAATTGATATCAACTGTTTCGTGTTCGCTTTCGTCACGAGGAATTACTTCGAGAGAAGTTTTTTTATTTGATATCAGTTGTTTTGTACCCGAAATTTTTTTTCTCACAAAACCAACTAACTCTAAACAAACACAAAGTGGTGTGTATTGAGCCAAAGAAAATGAAACATGAAATGTTGTAGTTAAAAACCAGCATTGTCGCCTTTTTGAATAAAGCGAAATCAGCGCGTAGGTAGGAAAGCAGACTTATGAGCGTGTGGATTCAAGTTCGAGTCGCACACCGGAGGGAAACAAATTTAAATTTTTTTTCGTTAAATAAAATTTGGTTTTTGGACAGGCAGATGAAATTACATTTTGTTTTGATGAAATTACATATCGCTTTTATACTAAGAAACTATCACATGTTTAGTTTTTTCATGATGAATTTTTTTGATTTTGATGAAAAGTACTTTTTGTGTTTTTTGTTGATTGCGTGGAATAAAAAGACTTGGTGAGGGGCTGGTATCTGAAGGAATATTATTCATTTGAACGCAAAACCACTTTGGTTATGATTTTGCCATTGTTAACAGCAACAAAAATGAGTTTTAGTTGATTTTTGTCGATTTTTCATGTTTTTTCCAATTTCTAATGGCTATATCTCGAAACACAGAGTTTTGGCAGATATAAGCTCTATCATTTTAGCTCTAATTTGGGGCTATATTTGAGGCAATTTTGAAAAAAATCGTCGGAGCCGTTTTCGAGAGAATGACCGATTTGTGCAAGGCCAGGTGACCAGTTTTTGGGTTTTCAGCCCATAAGACCATGCTTACTTGATTTTTTCAGAATAAAATAGATGTCATTTGATAGCTGGCCTCAAGACCTTTCCAACGATACCCAAAAGTTTGAAATCGGTTGACTGGGTTAGGCACAGTGATCATTGGAAAGAAGGCCATATTTTGAATTTTCAAAGGCCGGCCAAGGCCAAGATGGCGGCCAAATCAAAAAGTGGCGGAACAAAAAAGTCTTAGTTTTTGATATAGTCCAACGCCTGAAAGTTTAAAAAAGATCGGACCAAAAGTACGGACGGACGGACGGATGGACGGACGGACACACAGACAAAACTATTATCTCAGAATAATTGATGGAGACGGCAAAGAAAATTTTCAAATGGCCATAACTCATGAACTGATGGTCCGATTTCGACGTTCTTGGTCTTGTTGGAAAGGTCTCGACGAGAAGCTTCAGAAAAACTGTTTTGAGATGACTGGGCCGCGTCCACCCCCCGGTAAATGGGAAAAACTGAGAATTGCTCCAAATTTTTAAGTGGCCATATCTATGGAGACGGTTGATCGATTCCCAAGTTTGAATGCATTTTCTGGGCCTATGAGCCAAGGGCTTTCTGACGATACTTCATTCATACCAGATGGCCTCTTAGGAAAAAAGTTCGAAATTGCGTGTATATATAGCGAGTTCGACTTTCAGCACAGAGGTGCTTTCGTCACTCGCGCCTGCTGTCGCCGGCTGTGATAATTTAAGAAATTTACGGAAAAGAGAAGACTGAGGTAATTTTTTGTGGACTTGTGGACCAATTATTTTATGTTTCGTTTAATTATTAATTATTTTTGTTCAGGCATGGCTAGAGATTTTCGAAAATATGATGACTACGGTGCATTCGAAGATGAAGAGGATGAAGAAGAAGCAAAAGCGAAGACAACAGTCGTTGAAGAAAAGTTGCTGCTGCTGCAAAAGCATCGGATAATTTGGAAAATATATTGCCAAAGGTGAAAAATGCACGTAAACGTGACACAGCCAATGACTCAACCGAAGATTCAGTTTCACCATCGAAAAAAGTGCGTGAATCAAATAAAGCAACCACTCAAGTTCGTGCCACAAAAGCGTCGAGCTGTTCAACTCCCTCTACCACCACATCGACTACATTAGAAGACTCATTAAAAAAAATAATTAATGATGAATGCAACACAATGGTGACAACTATTGTCGGAATGGTGAACAATTTTGAGAATAAATTGACACAATTGATTGTTAATGAACTGCACAAACAACAACCATCGCCACAAAAGCAGCAACAGCAACAGCAGCAACCGGTAGCCAGAACATTGAAAATAAATCAAAGAAGAGAATCATTAAATATCAGTTCATACTCAGACTTTCGCGCCGACATATACCGCATCAACATTAAGAAGTGGTTTAATTTCACACAACTATCTAATCAATATTAATATTCAATAATCTCAATTTGGAAGTTTAATTTTGAAGACTGTGTTATGTGCTGCAGAAATAAATGAAAAAGCATTGACATTCATTCTGCTTTTAAAATAGTAATTTGAATTGTTTTTTTTCTCTTTCAAATTGAAACTAAAATGTGGATTAAATTGATGTCGACGTACGCTTTTACAGTGACGTCAAATAGTATTGCAGCCATTGGTATTAAAAATAGACCTAGCCAAAAAACGGGCGATGAAAAGATCAGTTTATCCATGCCAGCGAACACAGCGGCTATTGGTATTGATGGCCAAAAATTACTAAAGAAAATGTATAAAAAATGGTGAATTAAAGATGTTCCTTTATGTGGCGCATTGTGCCGCAGCGATTGTAGTTTTACCTATAAATAATCATGAACAAAAACCACAGAAGAATTGATCCCCAGATTGAGAGGTGTGTGAGCCAAGTCCAATGATTGGTGATCAAACCAGCTTTCAGACAAACCGTGACAACGACGTACTGCAAATGCATCAAATAAAAAAAAACTCATCAGGGTCACATTGGAATGATTCAGGATTATGATATATTTCTCTTAATTTATCTCTCTTTTGGAAATTATTCATTTGCCCAAAGACGTCAAATTATAAATTTGGCGGATGTAAGAAAAGGAGCGTACCGTGTAGACAATGTTGCCAAGAACTAAATAATCACCGCTTTTGCCATTGCCCCAGATTGTTTCGTTGCCATATGCCAGCACTGGAGCCCAATAAAGGATTACCGAATGAATCAACGCGTTGCAAATCCAAATCCAGAAAACGCGTACATTAAATAGCTGTGCACTTTGCGATGGTTTATACAGAGCCGGATATTTTAACATAGTCTCAGCTGAACACACTTTATCGAAGATACCAATGGCGAATGGCGGCAAAGCCGTAAAGAATACATTATACAAACCGATTGTCCAGCGTTCGTAAATGATTTGACCCGACCATCCAGAGTAAATGGCAAACCACAATTCAATGACATACAAACATACGTTCTTATAAAAACTGTACAAAATCAATTTGCACATTCGACTGTAATTCCATGCGCCGTGTACCAGCAGCAGCCGCAATAAAAATCGGAACTAAAAGCAATCAAAGGTTAGTCAGTGTTAATCACAGGAAAAAATGTAATATTTACTTGTGCTATTGAATAATCAGATGCGCACGCTGCTTGCAAGCCCTCACAGCCTGAGATGCCAACACCAACGTGTGCCTTTTGAATCATGGCCACATCATTGGCACCATCTCCGATGGCCAGTGTTACACATTTCGTATTTGTTGTGACTAAATCGACAACTTCGGCTTTTTGGATTGGCGACACCCGACAACAAATCACCACTTTACATGAAATGCATAAATCCAAAAATTCACGACGTAGATCACAGCTCAGGGCATATTTTAGCGTTGTTCCATCAATAACTAGTGCGACATTGTTCTGGCTTCGCAAATGCTCACCAAAATCGGCACTATGGCGACCGATGCATTCGCGTGTGTTCTGAAAACACAAAAAGGATACAAACTTTTCAATAAACAAGTACAAATTGGTACAATAGATTGCAGGGATGCGAAGACGGGTGACCTACATCCAAACTCTCTTCGTTCAATATAATCAAGTCCATTCCTTGTGAAATTAATTTGCACGAATATCCAATGTTGATTGCTGTTTCCTGTTTGTCACCGGTCAGCACCCACATATTGATATCTGCCTTGAGTAGAGCCGCTATTGTTTCAGGTACACCGTCTTGCAGTTTATCCTCAATGGCTGTGGCACCGAGAAGTATTAAATTATTTTCAATTAAATTGGCCGCATCTTCAACTTTTCGTTCGCGATATTGCATGGCAGTTGATGCTTTATGGTATGTCTCCTTCCATTCTGTGTAAATATCTTCTGGTATTACGGCAACGGCACAACAGAGTGTACGCAATCCTTCGGTGGCAAAATCTTCTAAATGTCGAAGTGTTATATCACGATAAGCTTGTCCGTTTGGCGCTAATCGTTCGTAAATCACTGTATCAGCACCCTTACAATACAACTTAATTTCACCTTTGGCATTTCGAACTATGACTGACATTCGTTTTCGAGCCGATGTAAACTCTAGAACGTTCAATATTTCGTATCGCTCTCGTTTACCAAGCGCATCAATTTCCACCGTGTTCGGTGTCCGCATTTCAAACACATAACCGAAATTTGCGGCTCCAGCAACGAGAGCACGTTCATCTGGACTAGCTGCATGATAAATGAACTTGCCATTCTCATCTTTTTCTGGAATTACTGTGTGACAGACTGCTAAGAGTGTTAAAAATTCTTCGATTATCGGCAGAGTTTGATGTTTATTTCGAATATTCTAAAAAATATTAGGAAAAATAGAAAAAAGATTAAACAATAGTTTGATAAAGCACTTTTTAATTGATTTTCTATCCGAAATAATGAGCCCCACCTGAACAAGTAATGAAGCTTCAGGTGTATCTTCAATGGTGTATACATGACGAGCGATCGAACACTTTTTGAATTCCATCACATTTCGTGTGAGTGTTCCCGTTTTATCAGAAAAGATATACTTGACCATGCCAAGCTCTTCATTCAAGTTAGATGTACGGGCCATCGCTGGCGTATCAGTTTCTTCATGATACATCTCCACGTCGAAGTTTATGAAAAGCGCCTGAAAAGTATCAAAATGGCATATAAATATATAAATAATGACCAATTCAATTTTAGTTACTAGCAGTGACTGACCTGCATAAATCGAACCAATTCTAATGTAACTTGAAGTGATATTGGAATTAAATTATTGTAGAGAATTATAAAAGTTAGAAGGTTGTATCCGAAATTCTTGTTTAGAAGATCTGCAAGAAAGTTACATTTCAACAATTAAGTGAGTATCTTACAAATTGCGGGTTTTTTTTCTTCTCACAGAAATGGATTCTTACCGATATACCAATCGTTTCGGAAGTGACCCTTCGTCCAGATCTCACTGAATATAGCACTTATGAAGCAAAGAGCTACTAACATTATAAATAACATCAAAATCTGCGTATTTGTCAGTCTGTCAACAGTTGAGCGCTGTAAATAAATACGCAATTTATAAGGTTTGACATTTCAACGGGTGGGTGAACGAGAAAACAAAAATGGAAATCGTTCTGTTGAAGTATATGAAATGCGAACCTTTAATGGCGCTGAGGTAGAGTTTCTCATAAGTTTCGTATCATGTCCTGTGTAGATGACAATGCCGAAAACCCAAGCCGTATTTCGAAGGATGGCACCGCGCTGCAGAATCTGATCTGCCCCCAAAGCAACAGCACTGCAAAATTCGAAATTTATTGAAAATAAAATCACATTGTAGGCAAACTTGGGTATTTTTCAAAGATAGTTGAACGAGCAAACATCCAATACTAACAGTTGGCCACGCTCCTTTAGCACGCCATTGAATTCGTACAAGTGTCGATTCGGCGGTTCACATTCCACAGTTCCGTTGAAATTCACTAGATCTCTAGTCTCAAGTAATCCGGCTGTGGCTGGTACAGCTTGCCGTATCTTTAAATTGGTTTCACCGTCTAAATTCGAAGTTTCAATGAAAGCCATACTTTGTGGTTCACTCGATGACAACAGAACCATATCGGCCGGGAAAAATGTATTATTGATTATTCGAACAATGTCACCGACTACGAGATTTTGCCATTTGATGGCAACCCATTGTCCATTCCGTACTGTTTCCACATCTCGATGGTTGATATCATCATCTGCTCGATGCCGTTTCTGTAATCGATCAATTGTATATTGTTATGTGTCTATTCGAATATGTAGATGTAGATATACTTACAAAATCTTCAACAATCTCTTTGATGGCGCTTACAGTTAAAATGAAAATTAATGGAACCAATGTGGTGTACCGGCCCGTTGGAGAAACATCAGGTATCTGCTGAAGTAAGGCAATGAAGAGAAAAAAACAATTCGAATACCTTCGAAATTGTTCGAACAAAAATGATGGTAGGAAACTAATTAAGCTGCAAAAGGTTAGGAAATAAAAACATCGTGTAGTGAGCAGTTTAGTTTGGAAGAAAAAAATCGCGCATACAAAATAACGTTACTAATGGTTATACTCTACCTATATTTTGCTGTGGATATGTGATTGCTGCAGAACTTTTGCGGCTGCGGTCGATTTAGAAATATCACACGCTTATCCACATCGTCTAGCGTGACACCCGATGTCGTGACGTCATCATCGTCTAGAACGAAACAAAAAAGAAAACAAACCAAAAAATTAATTAAAAAATTTAAATTTAAAAATGAAAATCTTGTAAAATGAAGGGTTTTTTTAAAAATATAAACTGAAATGAAAATAAAAACAAATTCATCAGTTAGTAAAAGAAAACGTTTGCTCCTGTGATTAAAAAGTGGGTCTATTGTAACACAAAAGTGAGAAAATGAGGCTATACAATTTTATACTAGAGGAAAGGTCAATCGACTTGGATGAAGGATCGCATGCAACTATTCAAATTTATGTAAACAAACTGTTTAAAAACTATTTTATTCCAATTGTGGTTACGACAACATTAATTCTTTGTGACATAAAATATCACATTTCAACTACGCTTTTTTCTTCTTTATTTCATAATTGATTTAACACAGGTTCAAAAGCCGATTGTGAATCAGTTTTCGCCCTTGTGCTGACATGTTTCGTAGACGTTGCGCCTTTTCAATTTGTACATTGATTGATCGGAAGAAATTGAATGTCATTACCAATGTGAATTCACTACTCTGAAAAAACTGATGTAGGGTTATGTTAAACTGTTTGTGTTGACATTTATTTCACAACAAGTATTCAAAAAATTTGTGGTGATTCTCGGTACTAAATATATTTTTGCCACTAGAGCACCATAAATCTTTTTTGACTTTGTAGTGAAAAAAAAATTAGAAATATATTCAGTACCAGAAATCTCCACAAACTTTTTGAATACTTGTTGTGAAATAAATGTCAACACAAACAGTTTAACATAACCCTACATCAGTTTTTTCAGAGTACCACAACTCAAATGCCCTGTCTTCTAAATAAACGAAAAAATAAAGAAACACAAAAACAAGTGCAATACACAAAATGGTAATCAAAACCATGGCTTAAAGCGTTCCACCCTCCAACGTGCGCCGATATTCTTTATCATCCACATTTTGAATTGAAAATTAACAGCTTGTGGCACGTATAAACTAAAAATAGTGTATATTCGACCCTCAGAAAGATAAATTATGCATCCATACTAGAAGGTGTGTTGGAAAAACTGCATTCCGAACATATTCGAATTTCATGTTCATACTTCACTTTCACGCCAAACCAAAGTAGTTCGAACAACAATTCATGAATTCTATACCCACTCACACACACACTCTCAAAACCGCGTTCAAATTAGTTCCCATAATGACAACATTAATAAAACATTGATAAGGCATTAAAAAAACGCTCCCACAACAATTATCCATCTAATATTCATTTTATCTGATTTTTCGATAACGGCTTTTGATCATTTTTTTTTTATCGGAGGCCGTGCGGTAAAACTAAACAAAGCTCATGGATGTCGACATATGCCACAAAATTGGTGTAATTATACAGTTTGGGATAATTAAAGAAACCCAACATGGATTATCCCCGGCTTCTATCCTGCACACATTTAAATACCACGTCAATTAGTGTGATAAATCTTTTTGAGATTGTTCATTGTTGATTTTTTTTTTTCAATACTGTGTAATTTGCATCGTTGTTGCTGATGTTGGTTTTAATCGAGAATTTAACAAATACCACAGCTTGACCTAAAAGTATTTTGTGTCGTTTCTAACCTTGATGCGATTTAATCAAATTTATTTCTTCTTATCCCACCGTCTAATTTGAAAACTCTGGATGACCGAATTATGTTTGTTGTGATGGTCACAATTTGGTCATCCATTGCATACATTTTTCCATTACCAAGTTATATTGATAGACAGACTGTCTCATACAGTTATGGGTTAGCGTGAAAATAGATTCAGATTGAAGAGTTTTATTACATCGAACATGAAAATCATATATGTATGCTTCGTGTTTGTTTATATATACTTGTATGCACACAACGTCAAACGCACAACAGCTGTGGAAGAAATGTTTAATAGCATTCTAAAATTGTCATTTGCTGGTGTGAAAACTCACATCAAAAGTTAAAAGGATTGTTTAACATGCATAGCAAAGAAAAAATAATCTACGAAACTTTGTGCGGCCCTTAAATTGCTGAAATGACGTCACATAATGATAATTTTGTATTGCCACCGCATAAATTATCACCAAATGTTTTAAATGGGACGTATGTGGCTCTGAAATACGCTTATGATTTATTATCTCAATAATAAATCAAAGAGCGGTGCCTTTAAAATGTAAAAAATATAATTCTAGCGGGTTGAAAAGTATTTTCTTTCTTGGTTTGCTAATCAAACTCAAAGGGCGAACACAATCGATATTCACTCGAACAAAATAAATGCCATTCAATGAGAAGTCTGGAATGAGACAGTGCTGCTTTGGACAAAAAAATAGAAAAGGACTTTCTTACGATTATTTAGTCGTAATTTGAGGACTCGATAAGCTGTAGTCAAAGAAATATCCATGGTTATGCGATGCTATTTTGTGCTGCAATTAGAACTAGTGAGTGCTGGTTGTTCACCGTATTCGCGTTGAGTCAACAAGTACAGCCTTTTCCTCTTTCGCTACAGGCTTTTACATCAAACGGTGATGCAGTGCGTGATCGAATGCAGAGTAACACGGTACCACCACAACAGCTCAAATGGTAAACATGATTTTCTCTGCATATTTTCTTTTCTCTTTATTGAATTCGTCTTTTTACGATGTTCTATTTTTTCTATGGGCAATTTATTGTTTGCCACTGTGGTCTGTTAAACATCAATTGCATGAATATTATATGCGGAACAACTGTCAGTCAGAAAGAGAGAAATTCAATTTCCACTTGTTAACTATTAATTAGGCATCGAGCACATGTTTCTAATTTGATGTATTTTCACTTTTCAAGCATTTGGTTTAGTTGCGCTGCGGATTTGACAGAATAATTGCATTTCAAAGAGCAACACACATTCAAATGCATACTAGGTTAGGCAGTTAGTCAATTTATTTTTCTAGTCCACATAGTTGATACTGCGAATTATTTGGTCATGACCTGGAGATATTTTCAGTTTCCAGGTTTGTCACACATTTAACGAAACATATTGTTGGAACCCGATTTGTTTCCAATGTCAGTAGTATTTGTTCATTCATGGAACCAGGAAAATATTCTCAAATGTTCCGTTTTAGAATGAATTTTCATCGAAAAAACTATACCCAAATTTGCGATTAAATTATTTCATTTCAACACTGCGTTTCGAAACTGTGTGTTATTGATGCCAATATGGTCAAATGCGTTCGAAAATGTTTCGTTTGTACCTCTGATTTCGATGAACCTAACAACTGAACTGTCAAGCAATTTTCACTGTGCACATTACAGCGTATACATCCTATTTCGTCCTTTTCTTTTCCACATTCTTGGCACTGTAGATATGGAATATGAAAGGCATTTGGTGTGGTGAACGAGCTCTTGTTTGTGCTTGGACTTAAATACGGTGTATTGCAAAATAGCTTGGCAAACATGAATAGACAATGTGCATGGGGAAATCCCTCGCGCACTCAAGGAATTCCATATTAGGTGCGAATATGTGTATGTGTGCTTGGGCATTCATTTACGTTTTTCATATTTTATTCGTATGCTTCTTTCACCGTACAGCCATGTGACTCAAACCGAATCCATGTGCTGACCAATATATGGTCTTTTGGTCTGTGTGATGAACGAAGCGAACGCGCATATTTCGCTGAAAGCAATTAAATCGGGTTCGAATGTCCCTTAAATATATAGTGTACAGAATGGCAATTTCATCGGTTTTGACTAATTTGATTCATGGGATTGCCGAATTTAATAACTCCGCTGAGAACATCTAGATTGAAAATCAACACACTCTTAAATACCAAACAGGAACACACCGCTTTGGCGGTTAACACAAAACCGTCAATAGACAGAGTGTGTGTTTATGTTCTGTAAGCATGTGTGTATGTGTGTGAGAGCAATAGCGAGATTGAGAGAGGGAGAGCAACAGAAAGAAGGAGAAGGGTTGTGCAGTGCGCTTGTGCTTTGCTTACTTTGTCGTTTGCTTGATTCCCCATTTATTTTTTCTGTGGTAGTTGATGTGGTTGCTGTCGTAGCAGCCGTTGCGCTTTTCGGTCGCTTTCGTCGTATATTCAGCACTTGACCCCGCGTCCATGTTCCAGCACGATTTGCACCGTTGCTCACTTGTTGCAAAATTCGGTTGAAAACGGCCGTTAAATCGAAAAACGACATTGTTCTACCTTAGGATGCCGCCGTTCTGGTATTTCCTGTTGGGTTTTCACTATGGCTTTCCTTCCTGTTTTTGATAAGTTTCTCGTTTTGGTTGCATTAACAAGATATTTCACCCCACCACTTGATTGATATTTTCTTATATTGCTTTTTTGTAATCTTTATTCACTGTTACCATCACACACTTCGGTTGGGATTTGTAATGCTGGGTTTGTATACCGTTTGTGCTAAGAATATCGAACTCATCGGCTTCTCCTCCTCGTGACGAATCTTACATCAAGTCGATTTTCCATACTCAAATCCATTTATATTGGTTGTTCCATATCGTTCTTCACAATTACATGCAAATGTGAATGCAAAATTAATTAAAATCGAAAGTTTTTTGTGTGTTCGTACTTATTAATAATAATGAATTTTTGTTCCAACTGTTTGCATTGTTTTGTGGTTCTTTTGAACAATCCAAATTAATTGTTATTTATTGCGACACGGTTGATAAAATACTTGCTTTCATATTTTATTGTGGTTTGATCGAGTGAACATGTCAAAGTATGATTGCCATTCGATATCGAAGTATGGATGTTGTGGATTATTATTGGTTGTCAACGACCATGGAATTGAATCATAAAACTATTTTTGGATCGGTTTCGGTTCTTCTTTTCGAAGTTCAACTATACATTATTTCCATTTTGACACAACAACATCCATTTGGTTCATTTTTTTTGTTTTTTGTTTTTTGTTTTTTGTTTTTTGTTTTTTGTTTTTTGTTTTTTGTTTTTTGTTTTTCCCAGTTCTGCACTAACGACGTCATTCAACTAATTGGAATATGTCTTCGTATT